GAGCGCTTGTGCGGGGAGCGGGACTGCTGTGTGAGAGCAGCAGCGGCCTCGGGCGGCTTTCGGGGCGTGGGGAGAGCTGGGACATCTCTCGTGCTATTTAGTTGTGTCAATACTGGGGTTTGTATAGGCTTGGTAATACTTTGAAAATTAAATCAGGTGATTATTCAGTATATAGAGTAATGTGAAAAATGATGTGAAGAATCAAGCAGTACTCTTCCATGTGTGTGGAAAAGCCTATGCGAAGACTGATATTCCTTCCCCCTCAAGAACAGGCAGGAGTTATTTAATGTCTCCAGACAGCGCTTAGAGCTCTCATGAGACATTCAGAGAAGTGATCAATTGATATTTAATCTTACTTTAAACGAGTATTCTCCATCTCAAGGATGTTCGGTGACTGTGGTTGCTACTTGGCAACAATGGTCCCTCGTGTCTCGGATTATCGGCAGTTGTTCATCGAAGCAAACTTCAGTTTGTCATAGAATGAACCTGTTAGAGATAAAATTTTCTGTGTTGTTTAGTTGAAAGTTGTTCCGTTTTTGCAGTTGATTTGATTCCACATACGGCATGCAGTAACTGTGTTCTCCTGAAGTAAGAAAACCTTAGATTCGTGAATGGTTGCAATAGGGTTGGAAAAGAGCTTGTGGAATTAGTTAATTTTGCAATTTCTTGCATGAAGAATGGCTGAAATACAACATTTACATGCAGTGTATTAAAAGTTTGTTGTTTTTTTTTTTCAGACTGATGTAGAGATCTGTTTGATTGATGGCAGTTGCAAAAGTCCCATTGAAAGATTTTGTAATGGAAACAATATGATCTATATTCTGCAGAAAGCAGTAAGTGCCTATGTTAGTTGTTAATTTTTAAAATGTAATCTAGACTTCTGAAATCCCATCAAATGTTTTCATATACCTTGCATTTTTTGACTTGCGCATTTCTGTTAAAGAGGCGCAATGAAGAAGGTGACCCAATGGAAGACTCACACCCAGATGATGCTGTTTATGCCTCTGAGCTTTTACCAAGGGAGAGTACTGGACCAGTGGCTCTTTCTGTCAGAAGAGCAAAGTAAGTGTCAAAGGTCTCCCTCCCCCTTTGATGTAATTTTCTTTTGCAACTTTTGTCTCTCTTTTACTATTCAGAACTGGTATTATTCTCAATCCCCCTGAATTAAATTACTCATTAGTTTAGCGAGGAGGCATGACCACTTTTCATCCTGCAAAAGAGCCTCCCCTAGCTGAAAGTATTGCTAACAAAGCAGCCGAAGTCAAGGTACTGGAAAAGTACTTGTGAGCTGTCCCATGGGGTTAGTGGGACTGCCGGGGTGTAGGTGAGCAAAGAAAGCTTACCAAGACCATGTCTACGTGTAAAAAGAGGATTATAATACTGCATTCTTTTTGATAAAATGATCTGATGTCTGCTGATGAAGCATGGTAGATAGGAGTGAAGTTTTATGTAAGGGATAGATTTAGCTGGCATCTCATTTATTTTCCTGTTCATATCTCTAGACAGTTGATTTCCTTATATGCAATGGTACAAAATCCAAACATGACCCACTTGGAGAAAAGTGAACTGGTTGTGCTTCCTCCTCTCTGGATAAGGTGTGACGGTTCTGATCCTGAACATACGTGTTGGCTTGGAGCCGAGCCTCTCAAAGCTGGAAACAAAATCACAGGGATCACTTTTTATATGGTTACATGCGATGGTAAGTTTGTATTGTTACACGTAACATTAAACGAGGAAGGCTTATAAATGTGGGAATATTGATGCAGTGATGCTGTATTTGTCCTTCCTGTGATGTTGGTGTGATACTGCTCTGTGTTCCTTATCTTAAAAAACAAGAGAGAGAGAGAAAGAAAAGACGTTTTTAACCTGTGCTGTGTGTGGGAGACAGCTATTTAATATACTTAAGACAGCAGTGTCTGTGCAGGCCTGCCTTCACTCAGGTGCAACAACTTAGCAAATTTAAATTGCTACCATTCGACTTCTTGTACAAGCACTGACTCTTTCTAAACATTTATGTGTTAGCCGCAGCTCTTATTATCGATAGGACAAATGAAAGAAGAGTGCTTGCTTTCTAAAGGACAGCACAAGTTGTGCTTGACCAAATGGAGCATTTGAGAATTAATTTCAAGTGCCAAATTCGAATTGTGTCATATTTTTTTTGATTCTTACTTCTTTCCTTTCCTAGGCCCTACAGCCGATAAAACCTGTTTTGCAAAGCTTGAAGAGCTCAAAAAGGAACATAAAATGAAACATCATTCATCTGTGGTAGATTTTTACAGTCTGTCTTTCCTCCAATCTAAGTTTAAGAACGCTGGTTTTGAATTTACGGTACCGGTTTTGGGCAGCTTTATAGAGTCTGTTTAGAATCTCACCTTAATATCTCTTGACGTAACATTTGAGCTCCCTGTGTTGTAATGCATTTGTCTGATATTAGACCTATTTCTTTTAAAGTATTTTGAATGGGTACAAAATAATCAGTGTCATGTGGTGGTGTTTATTTTTTTGAAAATCTGTTCATTCTAGGTGACAACAAAAGGATTTGCTCAGTATGAGCTTATTAGAGCTGCTGCAATAGAGGACACAATTGTAGAATCTGAAAGCAATGTATATCTTGATATCACATGGAATACTGTAGATAAGGTTCTGGAGATACCCCCACTGATTTCAGCTGCCACTCTGGTAAGTCAAGAAGGAGAAAGCAAACCAAGCCAGACTCTTTCCATGGCGTACATAGAATCATAGAAAGTTTTGGGTTGGAAGGGACCCCCAGAGGTCATCTAGTCCAACCCCCCCCACAGCGAGCAGGGACACCACTAACTAGATCAGGGTGCTCAGAGCCCTGTCCAACCTGGTCTTGAATGTTTCCAGGGATGGGGCCTCCACTACCTCTCTGGGCAACCCGTTTCAGTGTTTCACCACCCTCATTGTAAAGAATTTCTTCCATCGTGGGTAGCGGAAAGGATAGAAAACATGTTTGACTCTTGACATTTGTGTTTATTATTTTTTGTGTAAGCAACACACTAAATTATAAGTTATGCTAATATGCATTTCACTAATGAAAGGTTTAGGACACTTGATTTCTGAAGTTTGAAACTGACATAAACTGCTGGAACTTTCAGAATATTGCATTGGAGTCTGGGGACCCCAGAAGCCCTGTATATCAGCTGTACAGAGAACTGCAGTTTCTTCTCGTAAGTATAAGTGAGAAATTCAAATTTCAGATATATGTGGAATGGTGTTTTTGTGTGTTGATATTGACTTTATTTAAAACTTCATGAGATGTTTCGAAGAAAACTTTAGATTTTAGTGTAGAATAAGCTTTAAGTTCGATTTTACGAATCTTGAATACAAGGAGGACAATTCATGAACACCGAAGCCAGGAAATTCAAGAAGTTTCTAGCTTCATGGTTAGTTGTACAGAGGGAGATGTATGATTCTTGGAGAAGGGGACTACATTTTGAAATAGGACACATGCAGTACCTCAAACAAGAACTGATTTGTGTTGTTTTGGTTTTGATGCTGCCTTTAGGCTTTGGCCGAAGGTTTGAAGACAGGGGTGACTGAGTGGCCTGAGCCATTAGAGTCTGAATCAGCTGTTGATCTGGTCCGGGAATTTCTGACTGGTAATTGCTGCTTGTTACATGGGGAGAGAGGGCTGTCACATTTCGCAGAAATAAAAGGAAATTCCACAAACAATTTTTAAAGTATTAGAATTAGAGATGTTAATTTCTATGCTATAACCACCCGCACAAAGTAGTGAAATAGGTTAGCCAGTACACCTGTGTATTTGTTTTCCTTTGTGCTAGTGTCTTGCATAAAAGTAATAATTATTTCTTTATAAAGTGACACAATGTTTAAAAAGCAATGGAGAGAGTTCTGGATGTGTCTTTCAAGTTATCTGACATGCACATGAACTTCTAAACATGCAAAGTGTCCCTTTGGTGGTGGAAAACTTTAGTTTGACATCTTAAAATGAAAATTCCAAAAAGAGAATCAGATGTAGGAATGCACCAAGAGATTTTCAAATGCAACTGTAAATTATTTTAGTGTCTAGATCAAAACTGGATGAAAGATGAAACAGAGAAAAAACTCTCTGTGACAAATACATGTGGAAGAAAACCAGAGACACTTACTAGACTACCTGCTACCCCTTACTGCTTCCACACTGCAACTTAACAAGTTAATACTCGAATAAAAGAATATAGTAAAGGTGTAAGGGGAAAATGTGTAGCCCATAATAAAAATTATTAAGAAATTATCTTTTCAGATTATATTCTTACCCAGTAGAAACAATGTTTAAATGGATAAATTTTGTGTATTAGCCATCCAGTCAGTGTATTTGTTAATTGTCATTTGCCGGGGGGGGGGTTTATTTGATTTGTTTGATGTTTTGTTTTTTTTTAATGTGAAATTTATTTTTCTTCTCTACTAGATTTAAAGAAGAGGCTGGATGGGTATTGTGTATCAGGAAACAATAATGAAGCAGAGGTATATGCTATTTCCTACCATTGTCTAGTCATCTCGTTTCCCTTGTTACTGTAGTTATTTCAGATTTTGGCTACATCTTGTATATTATTTATGTAGATATGTAAGTACATAGACGTAAAGATGTAAAGATTTCTTGCTTTCTGTTTCTGCTTTGTGAAAAATAATGGAAGAAGGCTTTACAGGCAAAATTAGGAATTCTATAGCTATCCTCAATAGAAAGTCCACTGTAATTTTTACCTTCAGAAAACCTCCCTGGTTTTTTTTATTCTAAATGGTCTGCCAGTGTTCATTATACATATTTTTTTATATAACTTAGTGGTGTGGAGTTATTTTGACGTGCTTCTTTCCCTTCCTTTTTCACTGTCAAAAGCTTGCAAATTAGACTGTATTATATTTAAACTACAGTCACACTCCCTCGTCTTAACCATTGTCTGTCATCTCCTAAAGCTATCAATCTCATCAAGTCCCAATTCCTTCTAGGAACCTTTGCGCCATTGCATTCTATCATTAATTTGCTTTTCTTGCCTAATTTAGTGATTTTTGGCCAATTTGATGGTATCGGTTGGATATCTGTCCTATTTGTCTAGAGGTTTATGATATTCTAAAGCCATGGACAAATTCAAAGTATAAAAATGTTTTTGGTTATATTAAGGGGTTTTTTTCCCTTTCAGTCTACAAGGAAAGGTTTGGGTCTTTTTGCTGCTGAGAGCGAAGTTGCAGTTTGTTGATAAGCTGAAAATATAATGATTTCTGTATCAGCTAAGCCAGAAACATTGAGGATCAGGAAAATAGTTCTTTGTTCTGAGAATATACGTAGGTATTAATTTTGGCCTCCCAGGGCTCTGCTAGGTATACATACAGTTATTTAATCATCTGTGAGTTTGGTGTAGCATAGGTCATATTCTGACTCAGTGCTTGCTGGGCTGTATTCTTGCTGTTTGCCAGTGCTCTGTGCATCGTGTCGTTGTGAGGCGAAAAGGACCATCTGAAGCTAAGCAGGTGGCTTTTACTAGGCAAGCTGGTTGAGCTTTACCTGCCTATGATCAGAAGTCTCTCTGATAGTAGGCTTCGCTTCCTGGTCCAAAGCTAGCAATTATCCAGTGTGATAATTCTGAAAAGAATTAGTCTCACTTTAGAATAAAAATATTCTTCCAAATTACTGTGCACAATTAGTTTCGATGTGGTACTTTCTCTGGAAAAGGGGGAAAATTAGTGATGCGCTGGATGTCTGGAGAAAATTCAAATTCATAAGGTTTTTGAATCTTAGGCATCCTTTTTTACTTAAACTCTTTCAGAAGATCAAATGTGACACAGCTGCTGTGGACAGGTCAATAAAATCAATCTTCAGTGAGCGAGGAGACCTGGATTTTGCTGAACAATTATGGTGCAAGATGAGAAGTAAGTGTGTTGTGGGTTTTTGCCCCATCTGTTTTCCTTGAATTCTTCTGTTCCCTGTATCAACTATATTGCTTTCTCAGTGAAGTGAGTATAAATTTTTCTGAGTTTTAAGGACTGATCAGCTCTTTAGAAAATTATCAACAGGCTTTTTCTAAAAGAGCTACTTTTAGACATGTAAGATGATTTACGTTCTTACAACATACAAAGATAGACCAACATCTAGCAGGCGATATTGTATTTCGTTTTGTTTGATTGTAAAAGGTACTAAATGATTAGTAGTACTCATCTGCTCTGAAACTGAAAACTGTATAAAATTTTTGTCTTTCTAGATCTGGAGGACAATTTTGAAGTTGATAAAGCTGTACACAAGCTTTATCATTCTTGTGATACCACTCACAGTCCTTCAGGAAAATACATTTGTTATTTATGTAATACTATTTTTTAAGGTTACTACTTATTTTTTCAGGTTACTTTTGTAAGATTTTCCAGAGATTGTAACAACTTCTTTCTGTTTGAGGGGTGGAGTTATGCAACTCCTAAATCCTTTTCATTCCTATTAGTGCAACCACTGTTGTGTTTGAATCGAAACTAATTAGCTAAAATATGCTGTGATTGCACTGTGTCCTGCTTAAGAGCAGTGTCCGCTGCACAGTGCATGGAGGCTTATTTCTTGCTTAGAAAGCAGTTGGTTGGGTAAATGGATACTAATAGTTCATATTCTAGATAGATCCTATTCAGTGAAATTTATAGAATGTGTTGAGCTTTAATGTATGTAGAGGGAATGTAGCCAAAATGTGTTATATGACAATCCGCTTCTGCCGTGTGCTGTTCTGTCATGTGCAGTTCAGTGGTATCTTTTGATCATTGTTTCTTTAGAGTAACCATTTTAAAATCATGCTATGACAAACTCAACAAAAAGCAGTGCAATCTGTCATTTCAGCTATCATTCTTCAAATGAGGGCTTTTGTTCTTGCAAGTATGTTTTGGCCTTTTGTTATTGGCTTAACAGCTAGAGAGGGGGCCTTGACTGATAAATAAAATACTCCACCTTTTCTCCTTAAGGTGTCAGTTCCTATCAGGAGTTGGTAGAGTGTTTCACACTGATCTTAAAATCCTTGGAAAATGGTGAGATACAGCCATGGGTATGTATTTGTGTTTCACAATAAAAGTCAGAATTTTGAGTTGTTGAAGTAGAATATAGTTCTTGTTGTTCTTTGTTGTATTGGTTTTAAATTACTTTCATATGTCAGTTTGCCTCTGTTTCCATGGTATTGTACTTCTAAACAATGTTTATCATGTTTTGTACACAGTTACATCACAATAAAGCTTTTCTAATTTTCAGATTCATCAAGGGAGTAGCAGTTTGCTAAGTAAATTGATTCAACAGTCATATCATGGAAAGATAGAGGTCGTTTCCCTCAGTGGCATCACTCCAATTCAAATGCTCTTGGAGATTGGTTTGGATAAGATGAAGAAGGATTATGTCAGTTTTTTCATAGGTAAGCCGCATATCCGTTAACATGATTAGAAATAGGAGAGAAAAGGTACTCCATGAAGGAAATAAATAAGTTTTTGGTGACCTTGATCTCACTTCTGCTCCCATCTGCTGCAGTGCTGTTTCCAACCTCCTTAGTAACTGTACTTTTCAACTGTAGATGGTTTCAAAATGTAAAAAATTAATTTGTTTCAAAATAACTATAGTCTGCATAACTGTGTATTTCTTTTTCAAGCTGAAAAAACCTTTAGATTGAACTTCAGGTGAAATAAATACCAGATTTATATAACCGTGGACTGTTTTGTTTTCTTATCTGTTTGCTGTAGGTGAAGAAATAAGACCCTCATGCTCATTCTGTCTTTTTGTTTACGTTCTACATGTGTTAAAAGGAAAGCAAGCAAGGGTTTTCATATGTAATAGCTGTGTTTGAACAGTCTATAGTATTTAGAAAGATATTTTTGATTATTCTTATGTATATTTTATACTGTAGACAAAAGCCACAGTGGAAAGATTTTTGTAAAGTACATTTTTTCTTGGAAACATTGCAGCTTTATTTTCAATATTATAGCTTTTTCTTTTTTCTGAATCTGTGCAAGGATTTTCTGTGTTTTACCAGTCACACACTTCCTTTTCGTTCATCTCTTCATGTCATCATTTATTTTTTGCTTTGTCATGCTGTTTTCATACTTTGTTTCACTGACATTATTTATTTTCACTATTTGTGAAACCTGTATGTCCAAAGGAGGGTGCTTGTCTCAAAGTATGTGGTAGGTTTCTTCATTGAGCAGTCTTGGTGGTAAATAAAATAATGCCTCTACCACGCCACTTTACAGGTGGTTTTTTGTTTTGGATGAGTAATCATGTCAATAAATAACATCGCAATCCTAGTGACTTTGCGCTTTTCTTTGGTAGAATTCCCTGCTTGATTACCTGAATGTTGCTTATATTTCATTTGATGTTGTGTAGTAAATTGTATTATTTTTTTTTTCCCCTGTTCATTTCATAGGCCAGGAGCTTGCAACATTAACCTACCTGGTGAGATGCTTTTCTTTTTTTTTCACTCTGAAACCAGTATAAGGTAGAGCACACTTAGCTGATGGTGGGATGTAAGTCGTATCATTCCTATAAGCTGAGAAACAAACTGCAAATCAGGAGGATGGAACAGTATACTGCAGAAATGTCCTTTCATGTGTTATTTCCTGGGTATCTGTTAGGGCTCATTGTCAGGCAGGACAGGGAACCTTTGTTCATACTTTGATAGCATGGAGTTTTGTTCTGACTCTGCTGGGCCATTCTTACAAGTTTGGCTTCTCAAAAGAAGCAGGAAAATTATGTCAGTATTCTGAGGATGTGTTGTGTGTCTGTAGAAATTGAGTGTCCAGTTAGGAGCAGAAGCTGTTTGCTCTTCCAGGATTACTTCATTTCCACATCAGTAGATCTACAAGAACAAGTTCATCGTGTTCAAAAGCTTCACCACATGCTGGAAATAATGGTCAACTGTACAGTCTTACTTCAGTTTAAACATGAGAACCTCTTACCTTTGACACAGTAATTATTTCATTTTCACTTCTTGCTATTTAAATGACACTAACAAATAGATTCTCTTCGACAGTTGTAAAAAATTCTTAAAAAAAAAAAGCAGCCCTCCTTAATGTTGATGATAATGAGACTGCAGAAGCAGCAGTTGGATCTTCCTGCTAAATTCTGCTTTGTGACTAAAATGAAAAACCAAAGGAAATTATAAAATCTGAGAGTATAGTTAATTTTGCACAAGTTTATGCAGTGTTGCACAAGCATTTCTCCAAAGAAAGTTAATAACTGGTTGATATCTGTTGTAGAATTTGCATGAAGTATTACAAGGAAAACGCTCTAAATGAGAAGCATGTGTTTCAACTGCCGATCAGACTAGCTCTTGTCAAGAAGTTCTATCAAAAGTAAGAGAAACTTCAATGTTTGCAGTATTAAAATTCAGATGTGACTGAATACCTGACTGAATTCTGACATTGTTTGATTGTTCTATCAGTGATCACCCAGAAATATGGAAGGTGGACGTAAGTAGTGGGCATGGACCGAAGGAGGTTAAAACAACATGGCAAGTTAGTACTAATCCTCCAGTTGAACATATGACAGCAAACAATACAGGTAAGGAATGTTTGTGGTGAAATAAGATAATGAAAGTCCACACTTGAAACAAATTCAGTTTTTATTCTGGGTTCAGTGGGTCTGAACTTTTTCTTACTTTTACTTCTCAGCAAAAGCGCAACGGTGAGATGGGATTTATAGAATGTAGAAGATTTTCAGAAAGCGGTTACTTTCTGCCTTCTCACCTTTGCTGAGTTATGTTTTCAGACTTAAAATGACAGAATAGTTTTGAACATGACATGATTAAGTTTTTTCCACAATATCTTATTACTTATTTCTAAAATCTTTGCTGGTGTATCTGAGAATGGGTTTGAAGAGAAATTTACCTGTTACTGAATGCTAATCTCTAGTCAGAGAAGCAAGCAGGTGCTAAGGAGAGAAGACGTGCCTTGCTGCAATCAAGTGTAGCACAAGTGAAAAAGCATGCAATGGGGAAGAATTAAGCATATTGACTGGTGTAGAAATAATTTGCCTTTTTGGGGTGAGGTTTGATACAGGGTAATGCTTTGGTAAAGCTTTCGTGCCATTCTCAATTTTTGTCATGAAGTGCTCCTTTCAGTAAAACTGAAGTTTTGAAACCAGTTCTGGAAGCTGCTGCGTAAACTAATCTCCACAATTTCTCTTTGTAAGGATAGTGGCTAATCGCCTCTTTTTCTTTTGTCTGTGCAGGCCTGTTTTCCGATTCCACAGTTAATGGAAGCAGTGAAGAAAGAATGTATTTTATTACAGTGACTAAGTGCAGTCAGGTGCATTTCACATAAATGCATGTTACTCTACAGGCAGGCACTTGAAAGGTACAGTAAAGGGGAAAGTTCAGTGTTACCCATGTCCCAACAGTATGTCTAGAAACACAGAACAGAGCATCTTACTGAGTTATTTGCTTTGGTATGCTTAAAGCGTGACATATGCAGCCATGATCCATCTGTACCCATCTAGTTTGTTTATAAATGTGCAATTCTAAATGTACAGTAGAATTATTTTGAAAATATAGTAGATTTTTTTTCATATATTTACAAACATTCAATAAAGTTCAGCACTTTGGGGTTTTAAGTTTTATTCATTAAAAATGCAATCAAGACACTGTTCAAAGTGTGAATTATCTTAACCCAACAAAACAAGCAGTACTGTCATGTTTCCCTGGTGCCACGTGACATTTTGTTGTCCAGGTTTGTTTGGAAAGCTGTTCATCCAGGGCATTGTGAACTTCTGACAGTTTGATTTTCGTTGTCCCTGTGTTTATGTTTTGGGGTATTCTTGGGTATACTTCTCTCTTCTCTTCAAGTTAATTTTTTTCCCTCAATGCCAAGTGAATTATTTTAACAGTGTTGTCTTGGATACTTTTGCATAATTTTCTGAAAAAAAAAATGTTCAATACAACTGGCTGGACATAATCTTTTAAATATGTTGGGATTAATTCCTGACAGTTGCATATATTCTTACATTGATTAGATAGTGTATGTAATGTTTTGGTAGAGTCATTTTAAACAATTACATAGCGTAGTATATGCAGACTAACTAATTTGAGACGGAAACGTTTTGCATAGAAGAAACTATTAACTATTGATAAGTAAGAATAAGGAAAACCACAATATTCATGCTCTTTAAAAATGATAATTTTCTACCATTTCTGGTTCCTCCTCAGTAAATCTTCTTTCTTATCCCTTTCCTAATATTATATCTTAATAACTGTCAATTTAATAGTTAGCCTTTGAAGAGAAGTTAAGAACAAGGCTCTTTTTTGGATTTATGTACAGTTACTCTATATTCAGTATATGCACGTGCAGTGTTGAAAATAGAGTGCAAGCTGAACAGAAAACTTGTTTGTTGCTTTCTTTGCTTTAGAGGAATAATTTCAAGCACAACAGAAGGACAGATGTAGCCAGATGGCCATATTCTGGAACCAGTGTTTTATAGTCATGTATTTAACTTGTTCCTACCTGCAGCAGAAGTGAATCTGAGGTGGAATATTGTGGAATATTACAGTCTGGAAGTGCTTGGATTACTTATAATACACATTTCTGTGTGTAGTATATTATAAAGTCGTATGACGTAAACGTAGTTCCCTGTAAACGAAACTAGGGAGATACAAGTCCTTGGTTTAGCTCTGACTCAGCAGTTGTCATCTTTGATTAATCACTTCAAATAATTCTTCCCCACACCTAAACAGTAAGGTGTATATTATCCTATTTTTTAGACAGGAATAAGTTAATGTTTAAGCAGGGCTCATGGAATACTTAAATCCTTTTCTATTTTAAAATTATGTGTCTGTCTTCAAATAGCAGTTACGTGCTAATTAAAAGTCTGTTGATGAACAGACTGAAAATTGGAATTTGCAAACAGCTTTTAATTTGTACTGGCAAGCTTTGAACCACTTTAGTCTTAGCTAACTATTTTTCTGGTGAACAAAACGTAAGTAGTTTCCAAGATAGAAACAAAATCTGCTACTTAAAATTAGTAGAAAGTAATGCAGAAAGAAAGTGTAGCTTGGATTTTGATAAAAAATTTTAGATTATGGTTTGGGAATTGAATAGAAAAAAACCATAAAAAGCGCTAGGTGGATAGGTAAAGTAATATTTCTTTGTCTTTACAGTGGTATAAAAAGAGGCATCTGTGGTAAACTTTAACCAATATAATAAGTTGCATTTTATTTATTATGCAAAATGAAGATCTGTGTAAGCCTGCAATATTAACTATGATTTCGAAGGTAGAATATTAGTAACGCAATACTGATGAGTATGCAGAGTGTGGATACTGTAGGAAGAACAATCTCTGTCACCATTTCAGACTTCTATTTATATTTCAGTAGCTCAGAATATTTTTCAAAACTACAATGTATATAAAATGCAAATTAATAGAAAATACATATAAGCACACTTAAAAGCATGCTGGCATCTTTAAACATTTTTCTAACGTGCACATAGTCCTCAAACTTAGGAAATTTATTTCTGTCAGAAGCACTTAAATTAGACATTTCACTAATTTAAATATTGTCTAACCTGTGGAAGATCCCAGTGGTAGAGGCTCACAATAGGGATAATATTGTTTTCCAGAAGACTATTAATTGTATCATTGTAGAACTGTATTCCCTTCTCATTCACTTGTTCTGCTGATGAAACACACAGACAAGAAGTTACCTTGTTCAAATAACTGGAGGAATAGAAATCTAAAAATTTTAACCAAGGAATTTGACATTACAGTTATGGGTGTACTGTAATGGATGTGTAGTGGTTAAACTCTGTTCTGCAGAAAAAGAAGCGGAAATCTCTTTAACAGTAATGTTAAACAACTATGGTATACTTACGAGTAAAATTACTTGCATGCTAATACTGGTAAGAATGTGGTGAAATTGTTATGCTTACTTCTGATGCCAGTGGCATAATTCGAGGCCATGAGATAGAGAATAGATAGTGATTAACTTTCAGCTCCTTCAGTAACTGAATGTCATCCTGTGGAAGGAAAACTCAGTTAACATATCTCAAGCCCGAGCCGAATAACTCGACAGTTATTCATCTGCCTTAAATAGTACCGAATGCAGAAAATCCATAGAAGAGTTGCACAAAAGAGGATTCCATCAGTGATTTTCTGTATTTGCTTTGGGATGATGACTCTACTTCCTTCTTAAACTTTTTTTTCCTTGACTCTCCGAAGAAATCCTGTAATGTTTTGTGTTAACAGCTATCTAAACTGAATGTTGTCACCATCAAATAGAGGACAGAAGAATGAATCACAGAATCACAGAATGGTAGGGGTTGGAAGGGACCTCTGTGGGTCATCTAGTCCAACGCCCCCTGCCGAAGCAGGGTCACCTACAGCAGGCTGCACAGGACCGCGTCCAGGCGGGGCTTGAATATCCCCCGAGCACGAGACCTGTGCTTCAGTTTGTGCCCATTGCCCCTTGTCCTGTCACTGGGCACCACTGAAAAGAGCTTGGCCCCATCCTCCTGACACCCACCCTTCAGATATTTGTAGGCATTTATAAGGTCCCCTCGCAGCCTTCTCTTCTTCAGGCTGAACAAGCCCAGCTCCCTCAACCTCTCCTCGTAGGGGAGATGCTCCAGTCCCCTCACCATCCTCGCAGCCCTAATGAATTGAGGTATTCTGCAACACAGTTATATTTATGTCAGAATTTGTAATGCGCATGTTTTAAAAAAATAATATAAGCCTGTAAATCTTGACCTCAAACATTTCAGCTTGGGCACAAAAACATGATTCCGCACGCTTTCATTTACTGTCTCATACTGGAGTTAGCACAAAAAATAAATTCAGTATAAATACATGTTCTTTTCCTAAGAAATCACACATCTTCGATGTGAAATGAAATTAGAAACTGATGGTATATGAGGCAATGCAAAGAGAATTCTGGTGATGAGAGCAAAGAGAGAAAGTGCTTTTATACAAAGAGGACCATGTAACTGAACACATACAAACAAGTTCTAGAAAGTATCTCAAAATAGAAGCCTACAGGAGTAAGCATTGAAATACTACCATTTATGCCTGAATCCTCTGAAAAATAGGTCCTGTGATTATCGTGTCAGTCTCTTCTGGTGCGACAGCCCAGTGAGCTGCAGAGTTCCATCCTCTGTGGGTTTTTATTAAGGTGTTTGTTCAAGCTTTTACTTGTTTGAGAGAGATCAAATGAAATCTCTCCTGCATTTTCCCATTTTAGGGTAGTAAGGCATGATTAGTTTCTTCCCTCTGAGTTTTTGCTGAGACCTTTGATTCTCCCTCGGATTTCGTGTATGTGGAAAAACCTCGGGGATATAACTTTTATCAAATTAGTTGGAATTCCAATTATGTGATACTGGCTTATCACAGTCATTTGGTTTCCTCTTGTGGTGTATCTGTTTTTCCTCCAGGACAGTAGTTCTAGAATTGGTTTTGATGGTTTCAAGCTTGGAAATGTATTGCTGATAGAGCTGCATTGGTTATTTATTTGTTATCCATTCTGACTGAATTTTAAAGTATCTGATGTTTTATTCTTAAATATACATAGAAAACCTTTAAAGTTGCTCAAACACAAAAAAAAAAGATAATTTTATTCAGAGCTCAAATGTGTTCATGGTTGTTCTTCTAGCCAAGCATTTGGACTTCCCACAAAATGTAGAGTATTTCTTTGGACACAAAAATCATGAAAAACTGAGAGGTATTTGGGAAATAACTGGTATTATTGGTTCTATGAGATTATTAGGGAAGAAGATTTTACTAAACTAATTGAAAATACCATCCCTTGGCTTCCTAAGTTACATGAGCCTATAGAGCAACAAAAGCGCTTCATGTATGCTGTTATTTCAAAATGGGCAACCAGCGTCATGAAATGGCTCCAGAATGTTTCTAGAGGGGTCATTCCTCTTTAGTGGTACCTTAACTTTGTAGTAGCCATCACACACTGAATCTCCTGTTTCATTTCTGAACACTTTCCCTTGCTTGTGAGTAAAAGCATCCCAGATACTTTGGTCCTTTCCCATCCTTGTCCCAGGCCCCTTCAGTCTGGTATGAAGGACTTCCAACACCCCATAAAAAACCTAAAGGTGAAAAGAAGTCAGTTATCATTTAAACAGTTTCCTGCAAAACTGGTCTTCGTACTAAATTTGCATTGCATGCCTACAGAACAAGAGGCCGATGTTTTCTTCATCAAGCTTTATCGGTGCAGAAAAAGGGACTGTCTGAAAAAGTGGTATAGGGTAGTGGTATCCTCTTCTGAAGCACTGAAAAAGGAATCTAATTATTTCATATATTAAACCTTGTTACTATTATTTACAGTGATGACGCATTGATAGCGTGGCAGAAATGTCTTGCTGTAGGAAAAAATTTGGTTCCCGCATCATTTCTGCCTCTGGTTTTTATGGATTTTTTTGGTGATTACAAGTTTAGCTGTTGTTATGTAAAATACACAGAAAGATTCTGGATTGTTTTTCTAGTATTATACAAAAGGACATGATTAATCCATTTCATAAGCCACTTAAAATCTTGAGCATGATAACAAATCAGTGCCTATATAGTTTTGATTTTGATTAAATGGAATGTGTGATTGTGTATAAATGTAT